ATCTGTGATGCAAATTTGTACCTCCGTTTTCTCAGCCCTTTTTGGTAATCTTCCTGGTTCTGGCTTGTCCAATTATCTGGATAAGTGTAGCCCAGGGATGCTTAGGATAAGTAGAGAGATGGTGTGGGCGTTTGTTTGACTTACGGGATGGATACCCTCCATTGAATAATGATATCTGCTGAACGCCACTTCAATATGAATTCACTTCCTCGATCGCGACCGACAGGGCGATGAACAAGTTACTTAAGGGTTTAAAAGTTTAACTTTCTGCTCCGGGACCAAAAGTTTTGGTTTAAAAACGAAGTCATTTTGGCCTTAGATCACCTCCGTCGGCATATTGATCCCGCTATGCGGTGGTGTCCTCTGCTGTTGTCTTCAGTCGCTCCACAGCAAATCATGACGCATTGCCCTGCTCCAATTCCGACTGTCCAAAGGCATGTGGAATTATTCGCACTAAATCGACGGATTCACGGATTTTCAGAAGGGGGACTTAGACCATACCGGGTCATGCTTATGAAAAATCATCTTACGTTTTTGGGACGCTATTTTGTGTGATATTCTTGCCAGGAGATACGTGTTTGAAAGTTTTCTGCACCTTTTAACTTTCTTGGCATTTTACCGGTAGTTTTAACATTTCAGTTATGGCGATCTTGGCCGCCGTGCCTTCCTCCTCGTCTAGGAGATTGTTGGATTTAATCTTGCCGAAGTCTCTTTATTCGGTAGGGATGGCTTATATGGTCCGCTAAACAGGATGACCGAATAGGAGCGCTCCGCCCGTGTAATAAAGATTGCCTTGCGTATTATTCCAAGAAGAGTCAATACTTTTCGGTTCTGACCTCAACACCAGCCCTAATTTAAACTTGAACCGTAGTCGTACTCTTAGCCCTGACGCCTTAAATCTAATCCCAACTCGTTTGGAATTGGGCGCAAAGCCACCTGCACTTACGTCCTGTTTAAGGGCCATATAGCTAATCCTCACGCGTCACGCCCCTGAAGCTTGAGCAGCCACTAATGCATAGACATCTATGCGCCGTTCTTCGAGTGCAGAAGTTAAAGATTTCTTTCCTCAGTATTTCACCGCCTCTCATTTCAAGTCCTTGTGTCCTTTGGGCGACAGATGGCAGCCACTTTTCAACAACAAATTTTTGATTAGTCGTTTGATATCAGAGGACCGACTTCAGCTTTGTTTTCAATGGTTGCATCACGTCGGCGTGTACTTTTCCTGTCCGACTTCTCCCTGCGATCCTTCTTATCTTTCCCCTTTTTTTTTATGTGTCAAACCTTTTGGTAGAGCTGCGCTTTACAGTACTCCGCATCCCAGTTTGATTAGAGTAAGTTGCTAATGTCTCTCCACCCGGTGACATTTTGCTGAGGCTTTTGTTATTTCTATTGGTCGGATATGAATTTATACACCTTCATCCCGCCCCTAGCGCTTTGGCACAAGACTATCTCTAATGCAGACATAGTGCCAAAAGGGCTTTCATGGGTGGGACCTTTTAGAAGAACGGACGATACAGTTGAAATGATGTAATAAGTCCGAAACTCATACTTACGCTACATGCCAATTTTGCTGTAATATAGGTAGTCCATAGTTGAGAGTGCAAAAACAAAGGCATATGCAGTTTTCCTCAGGACCCCCAGCTCTATTATTATCCAAATGCTAATCACTTTTACCTCAC